TGGGGAGCGGGGGGGGCAGGGGCCCCTTCGGTTGGAGGCACCGAGGGGGGGTTCCCCTCCGGACCCGGGTCTGAGCCGGCGAGGCGGGGGCCGGGCTGGGGGCGAGGCGGCGCCGCCGAGGGTTCTCCCACCGGCGACGCGTTTGTTTCCCTCCCCTGGCGGCAGGAGAAGCCCCACAAGTGCAACCAGTGCGGGAAAGCCTTCAACCGGAGCTCGACCTTGAACACCCACACGCGGATCCACGCCGGCTACAAGCCCTTTGTCTGCGAGTTCTGCGGGAAAGGCTTTCACCAAAAAGGTAGGGGGGGGTCGGCCGAGTGCCGGGGATGCAGCTGCTGCCGCCTCTGAGAGGCGAGGATAAAGGGCGGGAAATGGAGGCTGCCGGGTTTCGCTCGTTGTCCCGGACCGAAATGGGGGTGGCGGTGGGGTCCGGATTCCCCGAATGCCCGCGAGGATGAGGCCCGGGGCTGCCGCCGGGAGCCTTAAGTAAAGGCGAATACCAGTAAAGACAACAGTCTTGGTGAAAGCCCCACGGACTGGGATTTCTGTCCTTGCTGCCTGAACCTGATCCACGACCGCATTTAGGGAGCTTTGTTTTGTAAAAAAACCCAAAGGGATTAGCATCGCCTTTGCTGAACTCGCTTACTCGGAAGTAAGCACGATAACATCCCCAAAACGAACCGAGGGTCGGGCTGGGGATCGGTGTCCAGAAGCCCGATTACGACCGCTCTGAATTTGGCCCGAAACCCTCGGTCCTTTTCCCCCTTCTCTTTCTTTTTTCCCCTTTGGGTTTTTTAGAGATGGGGAGATGCGGGGGCAAGGATAGCGGGAAGGTCCTCCGCAGGCTGCTCAGAAGCCCGGGGGGCGATTAGGAGGCACCTGTCGACGGGATCCCACTTGCAAACCCGTTGCTTTCAGTCGGTCATCCCTTCCAGAACTGTGTGCGGAGAAAGCAAAGAAAGTAAGAAAGAGACAAGAAAAAGAACTCGACCGTCCGTTCTCCTCGGTCGTTGGGCGCCAAACGCTTTCAGGACGGCCACCGTGCTTTGACGTAACTTGTGGGAACAACACTCGAGAATTCACTTCCTCGAGTTCACTCCGGGGACATGCCTACCAGGGGCATAGACCAGATGCAGGATTTCTCTAGTATCCCGCTAAAACCGATTTGTGGAAGAGCCACCAATTCACTCCCTTGAATTCTAATTCACGCCCCCCCCGCAAAACCCCAGAGTTGATTGTTTGTGTGTGGGGGGGGGGAGCGAGCGTCAGGGCGGGGGCTGCTTCCATCATTCTCACCGGATTTCTTGTCTTGCTCCCCCCCCCCCTTCGCCGTCTAGGCAACTACAAGAACCACAAGCTGACGCACAGCGGCGAGAAGCAGTTCAAGTGCAATATCTGCAACAAGGCCTTCCACCAGGTGTATAACCTGACCTTCCACATGCACACCCACAACGACAAGAAGCCCTTCACCTGCCCCACCTGCGGCAAAGGCTTCTGCAGGAACTTTGACCTCAAGAAACACGTCCGCAAACTGCACGACGCCGGCGGCAGCGGCCCTTTGGGGCTGCCTCGAACCCCTGGCGAGCCGGAGCCTCCGCCCCAGCCTCCGCCGCTGCTCCACCATCCGTGAGCCCACCCGACGGCGCGCCTTCTGCCTGCACTTCGGAAGTGGCTCCCGCGCCGGCGGGGAGCGGCTCTTCTCTCTCTCTCTCTGGGACAGGGACTGCTGGAGAGAGGCTACAAAGATGGTGGTGGTGGTGGGGAAATCGGGACACAGAAACTGGGGGGAAAAAACCCCACCACCACCTCGACTTAGGGGCAAGGACAACATCCCCGAAACGAATTTCTCGGTTGTATTTATTGGGGGGGGGGGGAGCCCCAGCGTTGCCAGATCCCCACTTAGAAAAGAAAGAAAGAAATCAGAGGGAGGGCCCTTCCGCTGCGACGCCCCTTATTCTGTCCCATTCTTAAAGCCTCTGAATTCCCCTGCTCTGGAAGACCACTGCAGGACTGGGCCATCTCAATGCGCGCCTGTGCCTGAGCGCGGGTGTTCACAGCGGCAGCCCTAAATCCTGGGCCATTTCCCCACCCAAAGGAGTCCTTCTCCCAAAGGACCGCCTGATCCCAGAAGCCCAGTGATGGGGGGGAGGGGTGCGCTGTCCAGCGTGTCAAAGGTCGCCTCTTTTACCCGGGGACGGCAAAGCGTCGGAAGGAGTCGGCGCCTTTGAAGACGCGGGTTCCTCTGCAGGCCGGCAGTTTAGCACAGCCCGGAATCGAACCCGCGTGGAAAAGGTGCGCACAGTGGTCCTGGACATTGCTCCTGGTCACTGTTCAGGTGCCACTAAAAAGCGCATTTGAGGATTTGTTGTTAACGCAGAGGGGACTGCGGTTTGGCGACGGGTTTGATTCGCATCGCCAACTAGTAGGGAGGCCAAAGCCATCCGTCTCTAATCGAAAGAACCCCGCCCCCCTCCAAGGGGACGCGCCTTCTGTTAGAGGCGCTTCCCTTCGTTTCACTAGAGCGCAACCCAAACATGCCCTCTTCGGGACCTCCCAGATTTTACTCGGAACTTAGCCCCAAAGATGGCTGCTGCTTCGCCTCGAAGGCCCGCTTTGCCAAGGGAAATGCCTTGCCCCAGAAAACCGGAGTCTCCTGGAATCTCCCTGGTTTGAAAGTTTCGGCCCTCTCTGTTTCGCCCCCCCCCCGCCCCTCATAGAAAGCCGAACCCCTTCCCCCTACTCTGGAGGCTGTTTCGCGGGGCCGCCGAGGAGGAGAAGCCTCCCTCGGCTTCTGAGGTCAAGGTCTGTATTCGGACGGAGACTGAGCTTTGTTTAGGAGCAGTCTCCAACCCACCGACAAGCCCTCGTACAGCCAAGACTTGATCGGTGGGTTGAGTCGCTGCGTGTTACAGTCGGCAGGCCTACAGGGGAACCTGTGATTTCATCCGGGTCTGGGTCCCCGGGTCCCTTGGTAAAGTGAACCCACGTTGGCTCTCTCTTACAAACACCCTGATCCCTCTGCTTGCAGACTGCACGGAGCGCTCACTGTAACGTGCGAACAGGGATCCTGCCGGTCTCTCTCCGCTGCATCCCGGTCCATTCCGTCCCTTCGGATCTGGCAACCCTGGGGGCAGGCCTCCCTCGGCTTCCTTCGCTGTACATAGGATCCCACTCCTCCCCCGCCCCGTGCGTGGACTGACTCTGCTGCCCGCTGGTTGGTTTGGTTACATCCTCGGACCCTTCCCCCCTCCGGCCTCCTCCATCACCACCATCCCGCTCACCCTGCCAGTCTCGCCCCCCTCCTCCCCCTTCCCTGACCATCCTGGCTCGTGTGACCGGGACTGAGATTCGGTTTGGGAACGGATCTGGAATTTCCCGTTGTATTTTTTTAAATTATTATTGTTATATTATTGTTATTATTATTGCACGCGCAAAAAAAAATATTCCTGGATGAACTTGGTGGATCTGGTGGAAAATAAATGGCTGGATCGGGCGGCTGGCCCCTTGACAAGCGAGCCACGGGCCGGAGGGGGGGCGGGTCTCAGGAAGAGCTGAGCGAGAAGCGAGAGCCCGGGATGGTTCCGCGGTCGCCCCCCGCCTCTTCGGGCGAAGGTTCCTGCCGGATCCTGGCGCGGAAACCCTTCTGGAAGGGCGAGGCGCGGCTGCCCTCTGACCATTGGCAGGGATCAACGCGCAAGGACTGGCCGAGCCCAGGAGGGGCCAGCAGGTCTCTTCTGCC